GAATTCTGGAAGACTATCTCTTACCCTCAATGGCCTCATAGCCTACTGAGGTGTCCCCTACATAATACAGGCTGGAGGAGTGACCAGGGTACCACCACAACCCTAAGAAGGCACCTGTCCCAGATGATGTTGGCCAGTGAAGGCTTCCCATAGGCGCATGACAGCTTAACTGAAGCCTGAGTCACACTAGGAGTAATACTGCTGAAGATAGGAGGGCGAACATTCCAGGCAAACAGGAAGTCCAAGGTGATGTCCTGAGTATGTGAAGGAGCAAGCAGTGGGGTCGGCATGTAGCTTGTGAAAAAGGGGAGGCTGAAGAAGGAGACAGGGCCAGATTTTGCTTGGCTTTTCATCATCTTACTAAGGACTCTGGGTTTTCTTCTGAAACCAATGGAGTCCCTGGGTGTTGTAAATGGTATTAATGAAATTAACAGCTAACTAGGAGGTTGGAGCTTCAAGTCCACCCAGGGGCACCTTGGAAGAAAGGCCTGATAATCTATTTCTGAAAGAATCAGTCATTGAAAATCCTATGGAACACAGTCTACTCTAACACGCATGGGGTCGCTGGGAGTCAGAGTTGACTTGATGGCTACTAGTCTGGTGGTGTCTGAAAGTGATGGATGAGTTTTAAGCAGGAAGTAACCTAATCAGATTTGCATTTCAGAAATATCATTTTAGTGTTGTTGTTGTTAAGAGCCATCGAGTCGGTTCCAAACCATAGCAACCTAGGATAGGGTTTCCAGGGAGTGGCTGATGAACTTGAACTGCCAACCTTGCAGCTCAAATCGACTTTGCAGTCCAGCGCATTGACCCACAGCGCCACACCTGGTGTACCATCATTTTAGTGGCAGTGTGGAAAATGAATTAGGTGAGGGAGGCCAGGTACTTCAATGTTCTTGGTGGAGGTGACTTAATGCAGTAGCCCAAGGACTTCATGATGGCGAGGGGGTGGCAGATTTGGAATGATTAAGGAATTGGAGTCAAATGACCTTTGTTGTTAATTGGATACGAAGTCAGAGATGATCCTAAAATTTTGCAGTAGAGCCTAAATATGTGGTAGTACCATTCACCAAGAGAAGAGCCACATGGAGGAGGAAAAGCTTCAAGGGTAGAGACAAGGACACAAGAGATGGCCCAAAGCATCTAGACATTTATGTCCACATCTCAGGAGCAAAGGTTATAGCTAGAGTATGAAGTCAATGGAATAAGTGAGATTGTCCAGAGAGACCACACAGACTGAGAAATCCAGAAGATAAAGAGAATTACCTTGTAATGAAGAGAAAGGTAACAGAAATGAGACTAAGAGAAGCATTAGAGCAGCTGGAGTGAGTCACAAGTGAAGCCTGAGAAGGGGAGGAGTTGAAGACGTGTAAATACCACCTGTCAGTTTGTCATAC